GGGATTAAAAGGGAGGATAGGAGAAGGGAGGAGAGGAGAAGGGAGGATAGGAGGGAAGGAGAGGAGAAGGGGGGAGGGGAAGAGAAGGGAGGTGAGAGGAGAATGGAGAAGAGAAGAGGGGATGAGAAGGGAGGATAGGAGAAGGGAGGATAGGGGAGGAGAGGAGAAGGGAGGATAGAAGGGGAAGGGAGGATAGGAGACGATAAGGGAGGAGAGGAGAATGGAGGAGAGAAAGGAAAGAGCTCAAGTCACAACACCAGCCTAAGGCACTCTACTTTTAGCCATGTGACTGTCATTTTGAAATTTAATTGGACTCAACCGAATATAAATATCTATTTAGAAACATTGCTCCAGTGTTTTGTCCAGAGAAGGACGGCACTGAAATGCCACAACTGAACCTGTAAGTCAGCGTTGAACAACACCTGCATGCTAGGAACCTACTCCAGTTAGGTCAACAACAGCCATAGCAGCCCAGGTGGCTGCTCTGGGCCCTGGCATAGGAAGGGGCCCCTTATAGGGAGGCTCGGGGTGCAGCTTCTAGTACAGAAGGGCTGAAGTCAGACCTCAGGACCCTTGTTAGTCACAGGTCCCCCTCTGTGCAGGGAGAAGCATTAGACCCATCAGTGAAGGCTTATTGTTGTCTGAGACTGAAATGAACACGTTATGTCTAATACAGTCACCGATCCCCGAGTGTCCCCTCAGCTAAAACCTGATAGGACGGCTGAGCTTTGTAGTTCTTCCAAAATGTATAAAGAAGCTATATAGAGTATAAAGAGGATTGTATTGGGGTTATAGAGTCATTGTGTGCAAGAGCAATTCATCATTTCATCATCATATAAAATATCATTATTCATAATAATACTACGGCCATCATTCCTGATCCCCGGCTGGAAGTGTCCGGACCGTGCTGAGCCCTCCTGCCGTCTGGCCTGGGCATAGATATAGAGAGGGTCCATGACACGTATTGTCACAGGTAAATAGCCAGGAAGGGGGCGGGGCACCAAAATGTCACTATAGGGCCCCCTGATTTGCAGTAACATGTGTGTGTGTGTCCCAACCCCCCCACTCCTCATGAGATCTTTTATTCGAGTATTATCAGGAATTTCGATCACGCCGCCCACTTCTTATTTACACTTTCATGGCTTCAGGGAACATCGACTGACAAGCCAGCAGAACGTCAGCAGAGGATACAAATGTCTCCAACATGGAGGGACGCAAAGGTTTTCTTCCTGCCATTTCCACAGATGTGATTACACAACCCGGGATTCCCCCCCCCCCG